ACCACCATTTACTGAAGAGATTTTCCATGCTGTATTGTATATTCTTGATTCCTTTGCTGTAGATTAGTTGTCCATATAGGTGTGGGTTTATTTATGGACTCTCAATTTTATTCCCTTGGTCTGTGTGTCTGTTCTTGTTCCGGTGCCATGATGTTTTAAAATATTAGGGCTTTATAGTACAGTTTGTAGTTTGAATGTGTGATGCTGCCATTCTTCCTCTTTTTGTCAGGTTTGCTTTGGCTGTTTAGGGTCTTTGGTGGTTGCACATGAATTTGAGTAATGCTTGGTCCATTTCTTTGAAGAATACCATTGAAAATTTTATTGGGATTGCACTGAATCTGTATATTGCTTTGAGTAGAATGGCCATTTTGGCATTCTACTTTTTTATTTCTTTATGTCTTCTTCTATTTGTTTTTCATTGTATTATAGCTTTCTTTGTGTAGGTTATTTGCCTCATTTTTTAGATTTACTTCTAGGTATTTAATTTTTGGGTGTGTGTGGGGTGTGTGTGTGTGTTACTGTAACAGTATCATTTTCATAATTCTACTTCTAGTTCATTGTTTGCATATAGCAAGGCAACTGATTTTTGTGTTTTGTTTTTGTAACTTGCCACTTTGCTCAACAGAATTATTGTTTTATTTAGTTTTTCATTGTAGTATTGAAGGTTCTCTATGCATACTATCAGGTTGTCTGGAAATAATGATAGCTTTATTTCTTCTTTTCAAACTTGGATTCTTTTTTTTTTATTTTTTTTTTTTTTTGTTTGGTTTTTTTTAAAATAAATTTTATTTTTATATTCCCCATACAATTGCAATCCCCTTATTTTGACCCCAACCCCTCCCCTCTCCACCCCCCCACCCCCCATAGAGTGTCTCTTGTTCATAGTTGTTTGTTGATTTTGATATTTTCTTTCTTATAGTTATTCTTTTTCCTGGTCCCTTATTTAAGTTTTCTAGATTCCTGCTATGAGCTAGACCATCCGGTATTTTTCTTTTTCTTTCTGGCTTTTTCCGCTGAGCATGATCCCTTCCAGCGCCATCCATGTTGCTGCAAATTGCATGTGTTTATCTTTTTTGAATGCTGAGTAATATTCCATGGTGTATATGTACCACATCTTCTTGATCCAGTCATCTATTTTTGGGCATTTGGGTTGTTTCCAAAGCTTAGCTATTGTAAACAGTGCTGCTATAAACATAGGGGTACAGGTGCTCTTTGGAATTGATGTTTCTGTGTCATTGGGTAAATACCTAGGAGTGGAATTGCTGGATCATATGGAAGCTCTATGTTTAGTAGGTCCAGAAATCTCCACACAGCTCTCCATAGTGGTTGGACCAGTTTGCACTCCCACCAACAGTGCAGGAGAGTTCCTTATTCTCCACAACCTCGCCAACATTTGTTGTTGCTAGTTTTTTTAATATGTGCCATTCTCACTGGTGTAAGATGGTATCTCATTGCAGTTTTGATTTGCATTTCCCTGATTACAAGTGATGAACATTTTTTCATATGCCTGTTGGCCATTTGCATTTCCTCTTCAGAGAAGTTTCTTTTTAGCTCTTCTGCCCATTTTTTGACTGGATTATTTTCTTTGTTGTTGCTGAGTCTCATCAGCTCTTTGCAGATTTTTGTGATCAGTCCTTTATCATTAGTGTTGGGTGCAAAAATGTTCTCCCAGTTGGTGGGGTTTCTCTTTGTTTTTGTTATTGTCTCTTTTGCTGTGCAGAAGCTCTTTAATTTGATGTAGTCCCAGCTGTTTATCTTTGCCTTCACTATCACTGCTTTGGGTGATGTGTCTGTAAAGATGTCTTTGATGTGCATATCACGTAGTTTTTTGCCTATATTTCCTTCTATGTATTTTATGGTTTCAGGTCTTATGTCTAGTTCTTTAATCCATTTTGAGTTGGATTCTTTATATATCTTTCTCTTCCTAATCACTCTTACTAGGACTTCCAATACTGTGTTGAATAATAGTAGTGCTAATGGACACCCTTGTCTTGTACCAGATCAATGGAAAATTTTACAATTTTTCACCATTAAGAATTATGCTAGCTGTGATATTGTCCATATGCCTTTTATTATGTTAAGATTTTCTACCTATCCCCACTTCTTCAAGGGTTTTCATCATAAATGGATGCTGAATCTTATCAAATGCTCTCAGCATCACTAATATGATCATATGGGTTTTATCTTTCTTGTTGTTGATATGGTGAACTACACTGATTGATATTTGGATATTAAACCACATTCGTGTCACTTGTATAAATCTCACATAGTTATGGTATATAGTCCTTTTAATGAATTATTGCATTCAGATTGCTAAGGTTTTATTGAGAACTTTTGCACCTCTGTTCATCAGGGAAATTGGTCTCTAATTCTCCTTTTTTGTGCTGCCTTTGGAAAAATTTGAGCAGCGTAGATATTAGTTCACTTTTGAAGAGTCTATATACTCTCATGTGAAGCCATCTAGTCCTAGACTTTTGTGTTTTGGGAGAGTTTGATTACTGGATTACTGTTTCAAATTCCTTGCTTGTGATTGGCCTGTTTGGGTTTTCTATTTTTTTCACTATTCAATCTTGTATGATTATATAATTCTAAGAATTTTTCATCTATTCTAGGTTATTAAACTTGTTAGCATATGCATGTTCATAGTAGTTTTTTATATGTTCCGAATTTGGCAGATTTTTAACTGACTATCTGTATTGTCTGATATAGGTATGTATGTTCTTGCCTTCTTTTGTTACCATTGAAATATCTACTTGCATCTTTACTCTCAGTGCATGTGTGTCTTAAAAATAAAGTGAATCTCTTATAGGGAGAATATCATTGAATTTGTCTTTTAAAAAATTCTATTATGCATTGACATTTACTTCAGTTTAATCTCAACTTGAAAACCACATCACATTGATTTATTTGCATTTTTAATAATTCAGGTCACTTTCCCAGAATGGAATTAATGTTTCTTTTAAGTAAAAGAACACTTGAATGCATTTTAGAGAGTATATCAACAAACATCTTCCTTTATTAAAAAGGTGTAAAATTTCACACTTGGAAGAATGAAAATATTAAACTCTAGTTTAACCAACTAAGTTAGTCATCTGGAGAAAATATAACAAGAAAAATCATTTCATCATTATTGTCTTCATTTTATATTCATTAGTCAATGGCTTCCTTTTTAAAGAAATTATGTTTTACAATGTTGATACATGAATATATAAAATATATATACTCATTTTCCTGATGTGTGTAACATTAAAATAAAAATAACATTAAGTAAATATGATATGGAATAACTGGAATAAAATATGAGACTGAAGGGGTAGACTGAATGCAGATCACAAAGTTCCTCAAAACAAGTCATATCTAGAATTTTATACACATTTCATGAGTGGGAAAGGCTGAGGAATTTTGAGGGAAAGGAGTTTAACTTAGTAAGATCATGAGATCTGGGTTTTTAAAAGACTACACTATCAAATCCATTGTTAGGTATAAGAGAGGATATTAGAGAGTCAGAAAAAGGGCTTCCTCTTTTAGGAAAACACAGGGAGTTAGTGGATATAGTAGAATTATGAAAGGGAGGGCAACGCAGCTGGGATCTATGTTAGCACTAGAAACAAGAAGTCCCTGTGAAGAATCCATGTGTATGGTAAAGTTGGAAGGTGATGGAGAAGGAGGAGCAAAGAATACTTCAACATTTACAGTCTGTGCAACTGGATACATTAATACCATTTCTGAGATGGTGATGAGATTTAATCCCTGAGACACAAAGTTCAGTAATTCATCAATTCTCTTAACCTTCTTTCCTTTTCTATTTTTCCATGTGTTATTTGCCTCTGTTTTTAACCTTTTCTCTAAGATAATCTCATAGTTAAGATTTATAAATAGTCAATGTTTTGGGTTTTTCCTTTATCAAAATAAGGAAAATAAAATCATAAATACTTCAAAAAGACTAGATAATCAATGTCATCTATAAAAGTTAATACCCTTAGCCATTTAATTATGCTATGGAAGAAGGTTTTTCATAATATTACATTATTTTAATTATTTAAAATAAAATCTAAATTAATTAACTACTTGATTAAATTGTTATTTTTAAGTAAATAGGGAAGATGATGAAGTAGCATGTATGAGGTGACCTTTTTGTGTTATGGTATAAATATATTCTGGATGTATAAATTGCAAGATACTTGAAAGAGGTTGTATCTGGGTAATAGAAAACTGATGGGATTGCTTTTTACTCTGTTTGCCTTTTTAATGAAATGAACATAAGATGCTTTTGTACTGAATAGACAGTATTTACACTTAAGCAAAAATATTTTAAATAATACTTGTCAAAAAAACAACTGTAAGAATCCTGAGGTGATCTTTCTTTGTTCATTTAAAGCATGGAGTACTACTAGGACAGAGTTATAGGCGACTGACAGTGTTACACTATCTCTGGTACAGCAAAGATCTCTTGATTAAAGTAGACTCTTGATAAAAGTTTGCTAGGTGAATAGAAAATTTCATTCAATTAATTCAGGAATGTTATGACTGGAAACTGAACTTATTCTGCAATAATGAAAAAGTAATGAAAGAGTTCTTTGTGACAAACAAGAGGTAAAGTGTGCCAGTGGCAGTTTTGCTTAACAACTCAAGTTGTGAAGCAAACAACATCTAGATGGATGTCTAGAACAAGTTGTCCCTTCTGTCTTTGAGCCTCAAACAACAGAATAGTCACTGATATTTACAGATATTCACTAATAACTTGCAATTTAATTAGGGCCAAAGATATTCAGATATTCACTGATAACAGATATTCACTGATATTCACTGATAACTTGCAATTTATATAGGGCCAAGGCCTGGCATCGAAATTGTTGGAGTATCAGAGATCAATATTTTTAACATATTCATTTTATTTTTTTATACAAAAATCAGTAAAGAACTTAGTAAATTTTGTGTTTCTCATATTCTAAATTGAAAATACAGTCTGTATTCTATTGTAATACTTACCTTTCTTTCAGATTGATAGCAGAATGAAGAACTATCAGAAATTAACTTTCTGGAGTGATAGAAGTGCTTCATGTTGTGATAGAGATGAAGGTTTCTTGGATGTATGCATGGATCAAAATGCATTTCCTTGTACACTCAAGATTGTTGTCTTTCACTCTGTGGTTGTCATTCTCCACGGTGGTCCCAGTCTTCCTTTCCTCATGTTATTGTGTCCTTTTGAAGATATTATCTCACTGAATCATTGCTTTGACCAACAGTATAAGTACAATGGATATAAGAGCACCAAAGAGTAAGTCCTATGTGGCATTGCGGCCTCCATGTTTTTCTCTTGGATGATTCACTCTGGGGGAAGTCAACCACCATGACATGAGGATACTCAAGTTGTCCTGTGGAGAGTCTCATGGGGACAAAACCTGAGGTCTCCTGCTCATAGCCATGAGGGTGAGTCACCTTAAAGGGAATATTCCAGCCCAGCTAGCCTACACTGAACTACACCTTTATGGGAGACAAAACCACACCTCCTGACCAAGCACCCAAATGCCTAAACCACAGATCCTGAGAAACAACTAATATGTATGATTATTTCTGTTTTAAGAAACTAAGGTTGGACCACTATGGAGAGCTGTGTGAAGATTTCTGGACCTACTAAACATAGAGCTTCCATTTGATCCAGCAATTCCACTCCTAGGTATTTACCCAAAGGACACAGAAACATCAGTTCCAAAGAACACCTGCACCCCTATGTTTATAGCAGCACTATTTACAATAGCTAAGCTTTGGAAACAGCCCAAATGCCCAAAAATAGATGACTGGATCAAGAAGATGTGGTACATATATACCATGGAATATTACTCAGCATTCAAAAAAGATAAACACATGCAACAACATGGATTTGCAGCAACATGGATGGCGCTGGAAGGGATCATGCTCAGTGAAATAAGCCAGAAAGAAAAAGAAAAATACTGGATGGTCTCACTCATAGCAGGAATCTAGAAAACTTAAATAAGGGACCAGGAAAATGAATAACTATAAGAAAGTGAAAGTCAAAATCAACAAAAAACTATGAACCAGAGACACACTATGGGGGGTGGAGGGCGGGGAGGGGAGTGATTGGGGTCAAAACAAGGGGGTTGCAATTATATGGGGAATATAAAAATAAAATTTATTATTTAAAAAAAAATTTCTAACCATAACAAAAAAAAATTCTTTCTCTGATACATGGTTTAATTTTTAAAACCTAAGTCATTTCCTTTGTATAAAAAATCTTCACTATTATATATTAAGTACTCTGAAACAAAAGTAAATATGTGAATATTGAAAAATTTTAAAAAAAAGAAACTAAGGTTGGAAATGATTTGTCACCAGTTTTGCATAAATAATACACAATGTTTTAAATTTTATGTTAAAAACTATTGAATAATAATAAAATAGAAATAATGATAACTCATTTTGTAGGTGTTTTCATTGCAGTTTTACTTAACAGTTGTGAAATACTTTTTGTTAATTTTAGACTTGAAAATGAATGAATATACTGAGAACAATAAGACCCTGAATTCTTACAGGTGGATTGGAATGATATGTGTCAATATAAGTTCCTAATATATAATATAATGGTCTAGTTTCATTCTTCTGCATGTGGCTGTCCTGCTTTTCCAGCCCCATTTGTTGAATTGATTCCTTTCTCCATTTTGTGGTCTTGGCTCCTTGTTATATATTGAATATAATGATCTGTGTCTCTATTTTTCATTCCGTCACTATGCTGTTTTAGTTACTGTAGATTTACAATTTTGTTTGAATTCAGGGATTGTTGTACCTCCAATTTTTGTTCCATCAGGATTGCTTTGGTCATTTGAAGCCTTTGTGGTTCCATAAATATTTTAAGATTTTTTGTTCTATCTCTGTGGAGACTGCCCTTGCGATTTTGATAGAAATTGCATTGAACCAGCATATTCTTTTAGGTAAAATTGAGATTCTTAGCACTTTTAATTATTCTAATCCATAAACCCAAAATATTGTTCAATTTCTTTGCAACATTTCATTTCAATAGTGTCTTAAATAGTTTTCAGTATACAGGTTTTTTAATATCTTGGTTAAATTTATTATTGGGAATTTATTGCTTTTTATTCAATCATGTATACATGATTTATTTGTATATGTATACAAGAACTGGGGTACAGGCCAGAGGTGTGGGGGTGAGAGATTCATTAGAGACAGAGTAGGGAACAGAACAGGCAGATTGACTGACATATACTACTGAGGGGAGCAGCGGGCGAGTCAGAAGAGGTCTGCTGTGCCATGTGGGAAGCTCCCTGGCTGGAGATTGAACTCATGCTACAGTGCCTGCGGAGAGCTTCATAGGTTGCGTCTTAATTCCTTGTGCCACCAGGGAGGCCCCACAAATACTTTTGTTTTCTTAATTATTCTTTCTGATAGTTTGCTGTTTGTGATTGAGAATGGAACAGATTTTTGTATATTGATCTTGTAGCCTGCAATTTTATTGTTTATTATTTTTGATAATATTTTAGTGGATTTTTAGGCTTTTTTTCATAATATCATTAGCTACAAATAGTGATGCTCTTATTTCCTCCTTTATATTTTAGATGCCTTTTCTTTTCTTCCCTAATTTATCTGACTAAAAACCCCAATGGTGTGTTAAATGATAGAGGTTAGATTGGGCACACTTGTTTAGTTCCTGATCTTATAGGAAAAGTTTTTAGTTTTAAACCATTGAGTATGATGGTAGCTGTGGGTTTGTCATATGTGATCTTAGTATGTTGATGTATATTCATTCTATACCCATTAAATTGAACATTTTTTCATAAGCGGATGCTAATCTTGTTGTATGCTGTTTCTACATTTGAAGTGATAATAAAGTGATTTTTACCCTTCATTTGGTGATGTGACATATCCTATTGATGGATTTGTACATGAATACCCTGGAAAAAATCTTTCTTGATCGTGGTGCATGATGTTTTTAATGTTTTGTTGAATTTGCTAATATTTTGATGAGATTTTTTGTTCAAATGTTTATCAGAGATGTTGGCCTTCCTTTCTGTTTTGCTGTGCCTTGTCTGGCTTTGGTATCAGGGTAACGCTGCCCTTACCAAATGAGTTGAGAACGCTTTCCTCCTATTCATTTTTTGGGGGTAAGAGTTTGAGAAGAATAGGTATTGAATCTTTGTTTTGTTTTGTTTTTTTAAAGATTTATTTATTTATTTATACAACCACAGGGTACAGTCAGAAGCACAGGAGGGTGAGAGAATTCACCAGAGCCAGAGCGGGGAACAGAACAGGCAGACTGATGAAATACACTGCTGAGGGGAGCAGTGGGCGCAGCAGGAGAGGTCTGCGTGCCATGTGGGACCCTCGCTGGTGGCCAGGGATCGAACTGGTGCTGCAGAGGCTGCGGGCAGCTTCACAACACAGCACTCAACCGCTGCGACACTGGGGAGGCCTGTATTGAATCTTTGAATGTAATAAATCCCATCAGTGGTGCTGTGTGGTACTGGAATATTGATTTTTGGAAGGTTTTAGATTACTATTTCAATTTCTTTACTAGTGTTTCATCTGCTCTGATTTTCTATTTTTTCATAATCCCATTTTGGAAGATTGTATAGTTTGAAGAATTTATCCATTTCTTCTAGATTGTCTAATTTATCGGCATATAAATTTCATAGTAGTCTCATAGTTCTTTACATTTCTATGGTATCCTGTGCAACTTCTCTTTCATTTATGATTTTGAGGCTTTTCATTTTTTAAATTAGTTTTCTAGATAAAAGCTAGATTTATCTTTATCTAGATTCTAGATAAAGGCTTGTCAATTTTATTTATTTATTTGAAAAAAAAAAACCCTGATTTCACAAATTTTTCATTTTCCATTTTAGTTTCCAATTTATTTATTTATTATATATTTGTTTGTTTGTTTCCTCTCTTCTACTTACTTTCTCCCGTTTTCTTCTTTTGATTGATTTCTAATTTAATACCAATATGGTTAAAAAATATGATTTATATTTCAATCTTCATAAACTTATTGAGGCTTGTTTCATGTCCCAACATATGATCTATCCTTAAGAATTTTCCATGTGAATTTGAGAAGGATGTATACTTTGTTGCTTTCCAGTAGAATGTTCTGTATATATCTATTAAATCTATCTTTTAAAATTTCATTTAAGACCAATGTTTCCTTGCTGATTTTCTGTCTGAAGGATCTATCCATTGATGTAAGTGGGGTGTTAAAATTCTTTAATATTAGGATGCTACTGTCAATTTCTCCCTTTGGGTCTACTAATATTGTTTTTTATATTTTGGTGTTTCTATATTGTGAACATATATATTAATAAATGTTACAGTTTCCTGATGAATTGATCCCTTTATTATTATGCAAAATCCATCTTTGTCTTATTAGTTTTTCTTTTATAGTCTGTTTTGTCAAATATGAGAATAGTTGTACCAGTTTTATTTTTAAAAATTAAAGAGGTGTGGCTAGGGGGCGGAGCAACATGGAGGCGAGGAGACGCTGCGAGTAAGATCTCCCATTAAAAAAAGTTAATAGGGAGGAAAAGCGGCAGGTCCCAGTGAGAACCGGGACATGGAAGATAAACGGGTGACGCCAGCAAACTGCCCGAAGAAGAAAGTTGCCATAAAAGAGGACCAGAAGGGAGAGAAGCGCAGAACCCTGCTCCCCTCCCCCGCCCACAGAGGCGGCACACTCCGACCAGCAGAGAGGAGGAAAACAACACACTAAAACAACCAACAAGAACAAACGACGCAGCAAGCGGGACTGTGAGTGGAAAGGAACTATTGCAGCCACCACACCCCGTGAACGGGAGCTGAGGAGAACCCTGCAGGATCGCCCCAGAGGTGAGCTCCAGGCGCCATTGAAGAGAGACCCCGCCCCCAGGGAGGAGGCCAGGACCAGCACAGCCCCGGGCTGCCCGGTAAGCTTGCGCAAAGCGGCGCACTGGAAAAGCAGACGCGGATCGGGATCGGGATCGGGATTGCGCGGAAAGGAGGCGCGGAGCGGAAACGGGACCCCGCGGAAAAGCAGAGCGGTTGAAAAAGCAGTGCGGTTGAAAAGCAAACGCGGATCTGGATCATATCGCAACTGCCCAGGTCCCCGGGCCTGCGACCTAGGCTTGCGGAGAGACGCGCGGAGGCCCTCACAGTGTGAGCAGGAACCAGGCGCCCAGGCACGGGAGCGGGATTCAAAAGGCGCCATTCCCACGCAACTGAACTGGGCTACAGCCCGCGTCCTGGAACTGAGGGCTTTGGAACTGAGACTCGGGGCAAGAAATTAGGGGCGTGCGTTCCCCACGACGATGGGGCACAAGGCAGACACAGCACCCCAAAGCCGTTGAGGTGTACCCTACCATCCCCGCTCTGTTCCCTGTCCCACGGGGTGGATAATCAGCTCCCCAAGGGCTCTAGGAGAGATCTCTGGCACCACCTAGCGACTTGAAACCAGCAGAGGCTCCTGAAGGAGATAGTGGCCAGCTGGGGAGTTAGCCCATGCCGGGCCCCTTCCGACCAGTAGTCTGAGCCCACAGGGGGAGCGAGCACCCACAGCCGGGGCAGACCAGGCGCGCAGAAGAGTGTGCCTGAGACTGGACGCGCAGGGAGTGTGTCCCACATCACCATTTTAGAACAGGGACATTTCTTCAGTAAAGACTACCTACAGAAGGCTTCCTCAGGAGCCAGAGGTGAGCGGGGGAAGTTTGCCCACGCCAGACCCCCTCTGGCCTGCAGTCCAAGCCCAGAGGGGGAGCAGGAACCCACCGCCGGGGCAGACCAGGCGCACAGGGCAGTGTGTCCCCACA